AATTGAACAGTTGAAGACTGGAAAAATGTTGCCTGGTCTGATGAGTCTCGATTTCTGTTGAGACATTCAGATGTTAGAGTCAGAATTTGGCGTAAACAGAATGAGAACATGGAACCATCATGCCTTGTTACCACTGTGCAGGCTGGTGGTGGTGGTGGTGTAATGGTGTGGGGGATGTTTTCCTGGCACACTTTAGGCCCCTTAGTGCCAATTGGGCATCGTTTAAATGCCACGGCCTACCTGAGCATTGTTTCTGACCATGTCCATCCCTTTATGGCCACCATGTACCCATCCTCTGATGGCTACTTCCACCATGTCACAAAGCTCTAATCATTTCAAATTGGTTTCTTGAACATGACAATGAGTTCACTGTACTAAAATGGCCTCCACAGTCACCAGATCTCAACCCAATAGAGCATCTTTGGGATGTGGTGGAATGGGAGATTCGCATCATGGATGTGCAGCCGACAAATCTGCGGCAACTGTGTGATGCCATCATGTCAATATGGACCAAACTCCCTGAGGAATGCTTCCAGCACCTTGTTGAATCTATGCCACGAAGAATTGAGGCAGTTCTGAAGGCAAAAGGGGGTCCAACCCGTTACTAGCATGGGGTACCTAATAAAGTGGCCGGTGAGTTTATATCTCAAGTATAATAAATCCAATTCCTTCAAAGTTACAGCACTGCACCAAGAACTGTTATGAGTGCATGCTACACTTGCGACCAAGCTATTTTCACTGTAAAGTTACCGATTTTCTTTTGCCTTGTAAATTAACGGGAAGAGTTTTGAGGTAGATAAACGACGTTCTCTTCTGCCTTTTGATGTCAGTAGGACAGGCTCCTCCATTTCATCGTACTCCATCTTAAAAATGTAAAAAATCTGAATCCAAAAACAAAACAATCTCCTCAGCCGTCTCAAAAAATCCGTCTCCTCAGCGCACCGCTCTATTGAAACAGCCTGTACTGATTCGCGCGGCTCGCGCCTTCTGATTGGTTCTCGGGATGTAGTGGCTTTTGCTGCCAAAGGGAAGTGGCGTCTAGAGGCTTTTGCCGACAAACTGATATTTCTGAATGGGCTGAGGCTGAGATTTCGAGGATTTGAAGCAAATATATTTGTTGAACGTGTACTGTGTTCAGATAGCTTTCACTCAATGTCATTATCTCATTTTTGACGGAGGTGGCGTTTAGAGGCTTTTGCATCTGAACTCTTCAAATAAACCACATATTTGAGCTTTCAACAACTACATTGTCGACTGAAAAACTATTAAAACTACATTTCGTGACACAATAACAGTAGTATTTTTAAATTTCGCGGCTTCTCTAGTCTGTCTATGCGCGTAAGCACCAGTGACTGAAGGATTGCCGTAAAGCAGGTCTCTGGTCGTACAATGTGTATGACGTCATTGACATTTTAAAAGACTTTTTAAAGCAAATAAGTGACTCTAAAAAATCTAACACCCAGCAATGTGTAATTTCTTTGCATCTTCTTTCGAATACAACATTCGAATTACTAGACAAAAAATTATATCCTGAGAAAAGTGGATTTTTAGGGGTATTGCTCCATAGACCTCCATTCATTCTGCACTCCGCCTGTGAGCGCCCTCATATGGACCCAGAGTGGAACTGCAACAGTTCAGAACCCGGAAGTTTAATGTGAGTGGGAGTTCTCCCCATATTAGACTTTCTCTGGGCGGACCATAGACAGTAAAAGAAATGGACAGAGCGATCTCATTGGAACTCAGTTGAGACAGTTGAAGCCCACTTTTAGCGATTTTTGAAACTTCCGTTCCTGACGCGCAGACTCAGACCGACTCAAACTAAGCTTGATGACGTGAGCAACCTGTCTGACAGACGTTAATCTTCTAGTAGCTGTGCGTGAAAACTGCCAATGTTAATCTTGCAGAGACGGGGAACTTGAGCAAAGAGTTATTTGGCGTGAGTGAGCAGGAGTAAGTATTCCGTTGCTTTTATGGACTCATTATCTATGGGCTTCTCCCTTGACGGGACGTCCCCCCGATTGCCTGCGAGCTTCTCCTCCTGTCTGTACGGTCATTTCTGTACAGCGCGACAGAGAGTCGAGTGGTTATGACGCAATCGTTAGCCTATTTTTACTAAATCTGTTTCTACGGGGCCATAATGTAACATAGAAGGTAATGGAGCCCTTTATACATTGTCGTGTTTCTTTAGAAATAAATAATGGACAAATGAAGTCTTTAAACGCCTCAGATGTAAAGTTATTCGCTGTCAAAGTGACGCCAAAATGACTGGAAGTCATTGGAAATGCTAACGCAAGTGAAGTTCTGCTACAACATGGCGGCACCCGGCCGGCTTCAACTTCCGGTCGATGGATTACCCCCTTGGGGCGGACCCTTGCCCCGGACATGATGGAAGCGATCTTCATTTTCAATTTAGCAAACGGAGAGCAAACACCTCAGAAATTCAAGGATCTGTGATTTTAACCAGAGCCAAAAAGACCTCCTAATTTCACCAATGGTAGGTACACTTCAACATACGTTTAAAACTAGTTTTAAATACTTAATAAAATGTCATCTTATTTCGTATAAACACTGTTTTATATATTTATTTATCTGTGTAAGGCAGTATATTGTTGTGCATTAGATTAAAATGCTTATACTTTATAATTTAATATCTTATTTCAAATAATATGAACTCTTATTCACTATATTATATGTTTTATTTATCTGTGTAAGGTCGTATTTCGTGTGTATTAGATTCAAGTTTGTATACTTGGTAATTTAACAGTTTGTTTAAAATAATATGTTTCACTAATTTATATGTTTTATTTATCTATGCAAGTCAGTATATTGCAGACAACAGACAACATAGTGGTCAGTGAAGTGAAGATGCAATAGAATATTGGAACCTAGGAACCTGTATTAGATTAAAATGTGTATACTTGGTAATTTAACAACTTATTTAATATAATATATCAACTATTATTCACTATTTTATTTATCGGTGTATAAGAAAGTATATTGTGCGTATTATATTAAAATGCATATATACCTGATAATTAGCATCTTATTTCAAATAGTACAAACTATTTTCACTATTTTATGTTTTATTTACCTTTGTAAAACCATATATTGTGGATAATTTAACCTCTTATTATATATTATATAACCATAATAATGTGAACTATAATTCATTACTATTATATAACTAATATTATATAACTATTATTCACCACTATTATTGATCTGTGTAAGCCAGTATTTTGTGGTGTATTAGATTAAAATACTTGATAATTTAACTTTATTTCATATAATATCAACTATTATTCACTATTTTATTTATTGGTGTAAAACAGCATATTGTGATGTATTATATTGTGTTGTATTAGATTAAAATACATGATAATTTAACATCTTATTTAAAATAATATAAACTATTATTCACTATTTTATTGATCTGCGTAAGACCCTATACCACTGATGTATATATTAAAATGCTTATAGTCAATTCGACATATTGTTTCAAATAATGAACTGTTATTCACCGTTTTATTTAAGACAGTATATTGGGGTGTATTTGATTAAAATGCTTATAGTCAATTCAACATCTTACTTCATTTAATAACTATTCATGTATTTTATTCGAGCACAGTGCTTTTCATTTCTTAAAACTGTTTGTGATATTTCATCTGCTCAGAAAGACTTAAGAATCCGCAACAATATTCAGACGCATAAAGGATATCTAATTAAGTTCAGCACATGTTAAAACTTACTTTAAATGTTTAATAAAATTAATCACTATTTATGTGCTTTATTCAAGCACAATGCTATTTCTTTAAACTCATTTTTGTGACATTTCATCTGATCAGAAAGGTTTAAGAGTCTGTGACTAACCAGATAGACGCATAAATACCTCCTCATTAATTTCAAGAGTTGTTTTAAAACTTTGCTTTAAAATATATAATGAAGTTTTATTTTATAAGCTTTTATTTGTCATCAATGCTATTTCTTTAAACTCATTTTGTTTCATTCTCCCCAGCAGACAATATGGATGATGCAGTGCCGGCTGAAAATCCGTGTCAGACCTCTTCATGTTCATAATTTCGGCGTTCTGTGAACATTATCCTGATATAATAAAAACTTTCCCTGAAAAAACATTCCTCTCAGTCACACCAAGCAAATTGCCCCGTCATAAACACATACACACACACACACACACACACACACACACACACATAGCCATAAACTCCGGAAACACATGGTCGGGGTCAAAAGTTCACATACCATCTGGTGGTCATAAAACCCCCTCCCTACTACACATCCTGTCATAAATAGTTCATAATCATAAATCATAACCTGTCATAAAAATCATATTTTCAAGGGTCATAAATCATTTTTGACAGAAGCTCTCTCATAAAGACTACTGCCGTTGACGTACGCTCCAGCGGCCAATAGGGCGTCTATGTATTTATTATGTCTATGTGAGCAGTGGGCTGAGCCCTTAGTGCAACTCGCAACCGAACCGCAAGATGTCGCTAAAAAATACACACTGCACCTTTAATGGCCTTCCGATATTATCCTTGTTTTCGCATGGGCCCGGTTGCAGTCACTTGCAGTCTGTAGCCACTCCGAAGTCCAAAGTCTTTTGCATTTTGCAACGGGTGAATCTCCAGTTGTCGCTGGTGATTGTCGTTTGAACCTTTCTGGATCCACCTCCAACATCCTCACACACAATATAGCCTAATAGCCGAGACTTCTTTATGTGTACAGATGTGACGTAATGACGCAAAGACAAGCTCAAATTTCCCGCGGAAATCCACCAGTACCACTGGATTTAAAAACATTATTAAACAAGCTTACCGTTCTGAATCGAGCTAAGGCAAGCAGATAGTTTTGAACACTGGCTGGATATGTACTTGCTCAAATTTATTTTGGATAATTTTTGACCCAAAAAAGCTACAGACTGCAGCTTTAATGTAGACAAGTTGCCAATAAATGCGCAAGTGACAATGTTAATTGTTTAAAAAAAATGTAACTTTTTAATTGGAATTTAAATCACAATTTTGACATAATTTCAGACCCACTTTCCAGATAAGTAGGCCACATTTTTGGAACATACAGCTCAAATTTTAAGTAGGAGCTGTAAATTCACAAATCAAACTAGCCACCTGTAATTAAACCATTAAATCGCTCTGTTGCCTCATTAACTGCAAGGTGTATAATAAATACATTTATTTTATTTAATCTACATATCCTCAGAGAAAAGTCTTCCGGATTTAAAGCGTCTAGGCACACTAAGAATACCAGAAGCTATTTCCAGTCGGTCATAGGACTGTACTCCAAGGAATCCATCTTGATATTAGGGAAGCTCTTTTGGTTGTTCATTTAAACGGCGTCTCATTTCTTCAGCATGGGCCTTGCTGCGTTCCCTCTTTGTGTGATACTGTGTGGACAAATAGAAAGACAAATTATTTAGCCCAAGACAACTAGATAAGTCTGAGCATTCATTTTTCAAGCTTCACTTGAACAATTCCACAAATCTATTGATTTTAAGTCCTCAGGTAAAATGATTTCTATTTGTACACTGAAAATAGTTTAATTTACAGTTGGAAATTAACATATGTTTATTCATTCCCATCATGGATAATCTGATCTGAATGGATAAGCATACCTATTGAATTGTTCACACCTAATATCAACTCTTTCCCTTCCAGCATTTCTTTTTACTTTTATTAAAGTTGCTAGCCGGAACTAGCCTGGCTAACGCCAGACCCAATTCTCGTTGAGACTTGGGTCTGGGAACCACATGTACATTTTCTCGTATTTGAGACGTGGTTTACGAATGCCCGGCGCCGTTTATTGGGTGCTAAGAATGTCTATCAAATGCGCCTGTACGTATGGTGCGTTCAAGTCATCTCGTATAGATCGTATTTATGAGTTGAACGCACTTGAACGCCACCACAATGTCGTAAATACCAGTGGGGAGCTCGGGATTTTCTCTAAGCCCCGATCTTTCCGAGTTGTGGGCGTGTCACTGAGAAACATGGCGGAACACCACAATACTTAAATATTATGCAGTGATATTGTCAAGGTTTTCTATTTACAGCGCAGTTAAGCTAATTGCTTGCACAGAATATGATGGCATTATAATATAACAATGCAACATGTAACGATAAAGTTGGCAGTGGCTTCATAAATTAATTAAAAACATTAAAAAACAAAGTACATCTGATGCACATTTCTTTGTTCTTCATTTTCTAGAACAAGAGTTTAAGAACCTTACTCTATTTTTGTGTAATTAAAGGAGAACTCCGGCGCAAAATGAACCTTTGGTCTAATAAAACATTGGTACCTAGTCAACCGTTCTCTGAGATTTGTTTTCATGATAATCGAATGTAAAGAGTTTTATCTCTAAAAACTGTTTAGCGTAAAACGCTAGTAATGGGGGCATATAATAAGTAAAAAGAAATCGCTAGTTAATACCACTAACAAGGCTCAAAATAGCCCCACACGAACACAGTAACATAATGAGGGTCCCTACATGCAAAACGAAGCATTGAGAACTTTGTAAGTGTACAGACCGTTTAATAAGAAGATAAAGATAAAGACAGTCCACTTCGTGTATACAGACAGGAGCCATCTTTGGAAAACAGTCTCAACTAATCAAACCACAAACGCCATTCATACAGTTCAGAAGTTCACTGAACTTCATACAGTTCAGCTCACTTAGCACGTCGTTCGTGGTTTGATTAGTCGAGACCGTTTTCCAAAGATGGCTCCTGTCTGTATACACGAATTGGACTGTCTTTATCTTTATTTTCTTATTAAACGGTCTGTACACTTACAAAGTTCTCAATGCTTCGTTTTGCATGTAGGGACCCTCAAATATGTTACTGTGTTCGTGTGGGGCTATTTTGAGCCTTTTTAGTGGTATTAACTAGCGATTTCTTTTTACTTGTTAAATGCCCCCATTACTAGCGTTATACAGTTTTTAGAGATAAAACTCTTTACATTCGATTATCATGAAAACAAATCTCAGAGAACGGTTGACTAGGTGCCAATGTTTTATTAGAACAAAGGTTCATTTTGCGCCGGAGTTCTCCTTTAATTAAGAGAAAGAACTCCGCTATCTTACTCCGACGAAAGTGACTTGAACGCGCATGCCGTCGTAAACACGACTTCCCACCTGGTACGTACAAACTTCCCAGGAGGACTTGAACGCATCAGTAGCTCATAGCCAATCGTTTCAATTATACCAGATGACGTATGCAGAGCGACAGAAATTAGACAATGAAGCAGACGATGGCCGATGGGTCAGAGATTTATGTGTACACGATGGTGTGTATCTAACGGCCGTTTCACACCACATCCGTGAGCGGTGCGTATGTTAATCAATGAGTGCATTCACACCGGGAGCAGGAGGAGCGCGTGAGCGTTGAGCAGGAGCGTCGCGTGAGCAGCAGTAAAGCGGGGGTTTCGGCGTCCAATCTGTTTTTGCTGCACTTCTCCACGCTCAATTAAAGTGAAAGCACACTTTTGATGGACAAAAATAAATATGATTTCACACAAAAAGTGCCCAAAACGCACAGAATAAGCATGTCTAGTGAGTTTTAACAAGAACTTGAGTAGGCAAATAAAAGAAAATAAAGACTCTAAAATATTTATAGAAGATTTAGGCTACCCGGTAAAAACTTGTTTTTAATTATTCAGTTTGGGTGAAAGTTGTGTAGGCCTATTATATATATATATATAAAAAACTAAAGTAAACTAGCCAGAAAATATTATATATAAGCGTTCTTTTAGTTTATGTAACACAGCTACAGCTAGCACAACCCAAATCAAACCCGAGTGTGTGGTTTATTTGTGTGTTTTGTTTTTTATCCGCGGAGTTACAGTCTTGTAAACATATCGAAAGTATGAGTGAAACTAGTTTGGAGACATTTTCTGAGTTGTTTTGTTGTTTAACATTTAACTTATATGCGAATGTTGTACACCACAACATTACAAACTTTCAAGACTATCAATGTTATAAAATGACCAGCTTCTAAAAACAAATGTATAGTTGTCTTTGTAAAGAATTGCTCGCTTATTATGTAGCTTTGGAGCCGCTGCTGTGACACTGTACAAACGCTTCCAGTGTGAATACTCTCGTGCAGCTGCAGTGACGATGTAGTTACGCTGACGCGCTGCTCAAGTGCCGCTCACGCTTGCGGTGTGAAACCTATGTGTGAAACGACCAGGCTGCATCGAAAGGTAACTTCGCGTCTGCTGCCATGTTGGATCCATAAGTATAAACAAACTGCTTCGGTGTCTCGCATAGAGGTCGTCATCGTCTTGCTGCTCCCTCCCCGTTCTGTGATTGGTTCCCTAAATGAGGCGAAAATCTGGACCATGGTATCCATACTGCCTTTCAGCGTGAATAAAATCGTGCTGCGGGAAGGCAGCATGGGGAAACCCAGACTAAGCCGGAACCAGCATTTTTGATCATTTTCACAAGACATTCATGGCCCATCAAATATTTTGTGAATATGTAAACCCATTTATGTATGGGTTTATAATGTAAAGTCCATATAAAAAAAAAAAGCCTCTGCTTTTAAACAAATAAATATATTGTAGGGCTGTGAAACGATTAATCGGGATTAATCGCATCCAAAATAAAAGTTTGTTTTTACATAATATGTGTGTAGACTTTGTATAATTATTTTGTATATATGAATACACAAACATGCATACATATTTAAGAAAAAAAAGTGTTATTTATATATAAAATATGTATATATAATATAAATCATATACAAATATATATACAGTATACATGGAAATATTTCTTAAATATACATGCATATGTGTGTAATTATATATACAAAGTAATTATACACAGTCTACACAGTACACACATATATTATGTATACCCGAACGGTAACACTTTACTTGAAGGGGTGTGCATAAGACTGACATGACACCTTCATAATCATGACATGACATGTCATAAATATAAAGGAGGTTTCATGCATGTTTATGACAACTGTTATTGAGCGTCATTCGCTCAATTATGACATTTTTAATGCAAATATGACATTGTTTGAGATGTCTTGGTAATGACACCTTGACATAAACCAATACATCATAACCTGTCAGTTTCTTTGTCAAGACAACTTGACATTACTAAGACAACACAACCTGTCATAAATATGTCATAAACATGACATAGCAGATTAATTATCAAACTTAATAAGCCACTTAGCTTTATGGGTTAACATTACATTAAATTGTCCGGTAGTTGGTTTTGACATTGGCTGTCATGAGGACATTATAACATTTTAATGACAAATTCAATTTACCACTGTAGTTGAGGTCAAGAAAAATATTCACGACACAGTTATAATAGCCTCATGACAGCCAATGTCAAATCCAACCACATGACAGTTTAATGTAATGTTAACCCATAAAGCTAAGTGGTTTCTTAAGTTTGATAATTAATCTGAAAGGTCATTTTTATGACATATTTATGACAATTTATGTTGTCTTGGTAAAGTCAAGTTGTCATGACCAAGACACTGACAGGTTATGATGTATTGGTTTATGTCAAGTTGTCATAGCAAAGACATCTCAAACAATGTCATATTTGCATTCAAAATGTCATAATTGAGCGAATGACACTTAATGACAGTTGTCATAAACATGCATAAACCCTCCTTCATATTCATGACATGTGTCATGTCATGATTATGAAGGTGTCATGTCAGTCTTATGCATACCCCTTCAAGTAAAGTGTTACCAAACAAGCTTTTATTTTGGGGCCCTAAGCAAAACCACCCTTTGGGGCCCCCACAAAATCATCTAAAAAAAACTATTACAGTGCTAATTAAAATCGATTTTCAACATTTATTGCAGTGTTGTTCCTATTTGCAGTACATTTGTGCATTCTGCATAAAATTTGGCACTTGACATTACGATTTACTGAATCATTTAAAACAAAGAATTGCTTGAAGCCGCCATTTGATGGAGACCTCCAAGCAATATCTTGGTTGCTTTGACTGTAGTGTCAAGAGGTTTGTGTCACCGTATTTTATCTAGTCTGTATGCGTGCACTGATCAATGATTTTGGTTAGTTTGAATGTGAATAAAGGCATAAATAGCGATCTGGTCATCACACAAACTGATCATATCAGAAGATTATATTTTGATGTCTTTTCAAAGCCTTTATGTCCTTTTTGGAGCTTGACATTTTTGTGTCTTGTTGACCTTATTGACAAAAACAGCTGTTTCTTTCTTCAAATATATTCTTTTGTGTTTTGCAGAAGAAAGAAAACCAGTTTAGGACGGCATGATGATAATTGAAGACAATTTTCAGTTTTCACTCAACTCTTTTTAAATCACCTAAAATATACAGTAAACAATACAGACTAAACAATTTCATAAGAGGTAGGATTAACACACATTCACTCATCTAAACATAGAAACGCATTCATTAATTAATTTTTGTTAGCAATTAGTAATGCAGTGTATTACCTGGTGTAAATGAGGTATTTTATCTAAAGTGATTTTTAGTGTATAGAAGGTTTTCAGTATGTGTTCTCAAACCAATGATCTATGCTCAAACAATAAAGCAACAGGAACTCATAATGAACACAATGCTGTCCTCACCTCTTTCTTGAGACAATCACGCATTGCACGGTCCATATCATTACATGTGCCAAAGAACCTGAGGACGTTATGCTGAAGGCAGAGAAATTTATTAATTACTTGCATGCCTGTTTTCAAATAAAAAAAGATGTTTTGGACTTTTTTTTAAATTAGTACACAGGTTTTATAACAGATTATCTGAAGACAGAAAACATGAGATATACCCAGAATAAATGGTACAATCCACAAATGCATACAGACATGTTAAATGTTTAAAGTGTACTTGCAAAAGTGTTTTTAAAGTATAATACAGGTTTAAAAAAGTAGTTTACTCAACAACAACAAAAAACAATATTACCGGTATGCTATTGTTTACTTACCCTCATATCTTACCTGTATGACTTTCTTCCAAAGAACACAAAAGGAGTTATTATGGTGTTGAAATTCTTCAGATGTCCTCCTTTTTCAGTCCACAGAAGAAAATCATACAGGTTTGGAATGATAAGAGGTTAAAGGTAAATGATGACAGATTTCTTTTCTTTTTTTTTTGGTTGTCTGCATTCACAAAATTATTATTCAAATGACAGTTAATCACTGAATCATCTGTGGATTGTACATTTGAGGAAAAGGCATGTTTGCATGAGTAGATTTCCAAACCTCTTTGTGGCACTGTTTGAGAAGTGTTATAAACTGATTGCACTCGTCAGTATGCAGATGGGGTGACAGGTCCGGATGCATCCTGAGTTAAGGCTGTATGTCTTAAACTGTGACACCACTTGCCCTGTGGGTGACTATCATGGTTAAAGCAAGGCCACCGTGAAGAACAGGAAAAAATAAAGAGTAAATGCCTAAAACGTTTCACAGTACTGCATTTAAAGCATTTCAAGCATTTTGGAGAAGTTCTCATAGTTCTTCATAGTCCTTCTATGGATTTATGCTGTCCATTCATGTAATCCCAGATTCTATGATGGTGTGGGGACTAATGGTCAAGGGATAGTTCACCCAAAAATTAGCCCATGATTTACTCACCCTCAAGTCATCCTAGGTGTATATGACATTCTTCTTTCAGACGAATACAATTGGAGTTATATATAAAATGTCCTGGCTCTTCCAAGCTCTATAATGGCAGTGAATGGCTTTATATTTTTTGAAGTCCATCAAAGCACATCCATCCATGATAAAAGTGCTCCACATGGCTTTGGTGGGTTAATAAAGACCTTCTGAAGTGAAGCGATGCGTTCGTGTAAGAAAAATATCCATATTTGAAACTTTATCGACTAAAATAACTAGCTTCCGGCAGACGGCCGTACGCATCGATTTACAGCAAGAGTAATAACACTTGACCTGACGCACAACGTAATGACGAATGCGGAAGCGCAGAGGATAGAGCAAAACAAAACAGCAGTCACGAATCACGACAATTTTTAAAGAGAAATGTCGGAGGAGCTTGAGTTTGTTGCCCATCCCTGTTTGTTTGAACCACGAGAGGCGTCAAAGCTTACGCTACTCCTACGTCATACATCGTCAAGTGTTACTCTTTTGGCGTAAGTCGACTTGAGTAGGCCGCCTGCCGGAAGCTAGTTATTTTAGTCGATAAAGTTTTAAATATGGATATTTTTCTTGCACGAGCGCATCGCTTTCACTTCGTGAGTAAATCATGGGCTCATTTTAATTTTTGGATGAACTTTCCCTTTAAGACTTTTTCACAGTACTAGCCTATACAAACAAAATGTAAAGAATAGTTCCCCCCAAAATGAATTCAGAAGACTTGGATTAATCAGTTAAATTTATACGGATAACTTTTACAATGTCTTTGTACATTTTGATGTGTAAACGTTTTGGTTGCATGGACTTTCAATGGACGGACAAAAATGATCAGAGAAAATTAAATATATCCTCATTTGTGTTCTGTAGTTGAATGGAAATCATGTGGGTTTTAGAACATGAATGCAAGTAGTTGACAGAATTTGTCTTTTTGGGTGAGTTATCCCATTAATCCAAATTCACTCAAACATATTTGAAAACAGAAAATGTGTATTGTGCATTATCCATTAACAAGGCTAAAACTGACAAACTTCTGTAAATCAGTCAAACTGGCTCAGTTATCTGCGAATGCTGATACACTAAAAATAGTATATAGGTTGATTATAAAATAAAATAAAATCAAAACAGAAAAGCAATTTGACATGACATTAAGGATACTAAAGCCTCCCCATCCCATCCCATCACTCATTCTAAAATCCTCTGAAATCTGGGACACTTACCTGCAACAGAAGAGAAACAATGTATTAGTATTAATCCACTTAATAGTCTTTTTGTTTATTTTATACACTCTTTTTACATTTATTATAAAAATAAAAGATAAAAGTGGCATACACAGGACCATTGGTTACTAAAACTTTACACTTTCTGCCATGTTCGACAGAAGCTCTGAACAACAACACATTTCAAACGGAAGCCCTAAAGTAATTTTGGCCTTAAATATATGTAAAATATAAAGTCATTTATTTTTTCTAGCTGTGTGATTTCATAATTAGTCCCATATAGGGTTAAGCACCTGTTGCCATAAGCGATTATGTTTTATTACTAATTTTGAAACTAAGATCACTGGAATGTTTCTTCATTGGAAGGGCATTTGATACAAAGGCAAAGAATGTGAAGTTAGATCATAGAAATAAGGGATTTTTAATCAGTTTTAATTTCCTTAAATTCAGTTTTAATTTCCCATAAGCACAGCAGTCATCTCAGAAATCACATTAAATTATCAAATAAAGCTTTGGTGGGACAAAATGCATTCATTTTCATATTCATAATATTTTCAATGCAGGAAAACCCTGCAAGAGGCTGTAATGGGACACAACAGTTTGTGACGTGCTATTCATCATTATGACCACAAGATGGCCACAGATGCCCGTTCTATTGTTTTGTAACTATATACTGCTAAAATCTTTTATAAAATATCTAATTTTCATAAAGTTACATTTTTAAACAACTTTCTCCTCATCTGTACATTGGAACAACAAAAACATTTTATATAAAAATAATTATTATTATTTTTCATTATTATTACCAGTTGGTTTGGGTTTTTTTTTCACTACTTCAGTTTCCTTGTAACTCCCAAAGAATTCTCCACTGTTATAGATGTTATTCTTAGGGGAGCTTGTAATACTTCTACAGGACACTATTAAAACACCAAAACCTTCACCTGTTCCTTTAGATCTGTTTGAAATCCCAGTCAATTTTTATCTCATCCTTAATAACATTGGCGTTACAGTTGATTCAGAAAGTATTCAGACCTCTTCCTTTTTTCACATTGTGTTGCTATGTTATATAGCCTTTAAGCTATTTAAAATATTTTTAAATTCACAAATCCGGATGGTGCATGGTGTATAGATTGATGTGAAAATAAATAATTTAAAGCACTGTAGCACAAGGCTGCAACAAAAAAAAACGTGAAAAAGGATCTGAACACCTGAATCCTCTAGGTCTCTTGTAACAATTACATATGTCGTACATTATTGTATTGGGATAACTTTTTGACTGGAAAAGGTGTGGACATTGTCCTATACTTATACATATAAGAATATAATATTATAATATACAGTACATATAATAATACATGTATACATTGTTGTCTTATACATTTTCTTATCGGGATAACTAATAACGTAAGGGAAGTGTAACGTTAGGCTAATTAAAGTTTACACAGTCATCATTTTAAATTATTTTGTTTAATGTTGTTTCACTTTATACTTTTATACCTGGTGCTTTACGGTGTTATCTTTACATATGTGTTTTTCTGTATTGTTCCCCGTTATTTAAAAAAAAAAAGAGCCAACTAGTTAACGCTACATGGGTAGAAGCAGACAGTCAGTTAGCTAGCCTACACGTTGTAGTAATTGACTGTCTAACAGTGTACACAATATTATTAAATAATATAAACTCACCAATAGCCTTACAGACGGTTCATCTGACAACAGAAGCTGAATTGATAGCTCTGCAAATCAATGATGACTTCGATTCAGTTGTTTGTAGATCGTGAAGGGCAGCACAGTTCAAGTGTTTACAGTGACATTGATCGACACTCAAATAACAAAGAATCAGATATGTATTTTTTTGCTCAGCGGTCTCACGGAGATGTCAGATATTTACTTGATAATGCAATAAACACCCTTAAAACCCTCACTTTTCAACTAATCATTATGTTATATATGTGGTGCCCTATGTTATGCATTGCATTGCGTTCCCTACTCCGGAAAAAGTATTTTGACTTACAGCCATGGAAACCAATCAAGCACTTCGTTCTCATCCCTGCCGACCAATCAAAATAAATAGTAACTAAAAGACTTTTATTTCCTTGCGGACGCGCAAAATCCAAAATCTCACGACCTCTGCTGCCAAGTTGTAATGAGCTTAATACAAACATACCTATGTTTGTCTTAAATAAAAAAACATTAACATTCATATATATATATATATATATATATATATATATATATATATATATATATATATATATATATGAATGTTAATGTTTTTTATTTATATATATATATATATATATATATATATATATATATATATATATATATATATATATATATTGTTTTTAAGAAATATAATTATTGTATAATATAACTATACAATATAATGATACAATAATGATAATGCTACAATAAAAATAATATTACTAACATATTTAAATGCTTTCTAATGTCAATAATACAAATCTGAACGTTTAGACTGCTTCAATAACAAATCTATGAATTGTTAGGCAGTTTGATCAGAACGATAACCTGTGGACAATTTTATATTTATTTAAAATTTTAACCTACCAACAAAAACAGTTAATGCAACATAACGATGAGCCAAATAATGTAACTTATGCTTTATCTGTTCAAAATGCATTCATATTTTAGTAGTGCCGCAGAGAATGACGGGACATGTAACGTTAGTTTAGTTGCACAATAAAGACGGTAATGGTAGTATCCCATTTAATGATTTTGAAATAAAATGTTTTAAATAATAAATTATTATTTAATGTTAATGATGTATCTCACCTCACAGAAGCTAATGACATGTTCCACTATCATCTGGTTAAACAAAAAGTGTTTTCTGACAAGCTTCAGCGTTGTTCTTTCTGAACATAACACTAAATGCGCACAAATTAAACTGTCTCGTCAATATTCGCAATTACTCGTAAATACGATCATTAAGACATGACTTGAACGCACTCCGTAGTTTTGTTGCACATGACTTTTATGCCTTTACTGTCTATGCTTGTATGTCACTACCCGCCCGCTGTTGACCGGAACTTCCGGTTCAGATATCAGTTTGATTTCTGGCGGTTTGTTTTGAACGTCTAAAAACGCAAAATATATGATGATAAGTTATATTAACTTTTAACGGAAAAAAAAACTTTTGTCCACACAATGGACGCACAAGCCAGATCTGTTTTATATCGGATAATCCGGAGAATACCAAACAGAAATATAGAAAACCTTCTGAAGAGATGGAATTGTTTATCAGCAGATCAGCTGCGCGCTCTGGATTACACGAGACCCAAATGGATGATAGTGGAACATGTCATTAGCTTCTGTGAGGTGAGATACATCATTAACATTAAATAATAATTTATTATTTAAAACATTTTATTTCAAAATCATTAAATGGGATACTACCGTTACCGTCTTTATTTTTCCATACTTGAAGAAAACAACGATTCAAGATTAAAATGTCAAAGTAACCCATTTGACCTAACAACAGTTAACCCAAACGCAGTAACGTTTAGACAGATTTGATGAAAGCTGTAATTTACACCTTTCATAAAATCTGTCTTACGTTAAGTTACTGCGTTTGAGTTAGGTCAAATGTTTTATCATAAAGGCCAGAAAGGTGTGTTTTTTTCAATATCCAGCATAGTAACGTTAAGGATTTAGTAAGTGGTAAATAGTCATCCAGCAGACTATAGAATTTGCATAACGGTATTTTGAAACTTGTCATGAATTAAAAAATGAAAGAGGGGGGGGGCGATATGCAACAACACTTTGGACTATGTTTCTAATTAAATATGGCTTGTTGGGACAGAACGTAGAGGTAGATTTACATCAGCGTAAATAAATGATTGTGTAAATCTCTCTCTCTCTCTCTCTCTCTCTCTCTCTCTCTCTCTCTCTCTCTCTCTCTCTCTCTCTCTCTCTCTCTCTCTCTCTCGTAGGAGAGCAGACTTAGCCTGAAGCACGTCACTAATTTGGAAATGATCTGTGAGTGGAATGCCCTATTTTATTTGTTTTCTTTAAACGTGTATTAAAATTTAAATGTAAATAATCCCAGGCCCCATATCTGAATTTGAATTCCCTCATTAGATCGTATAGAAAATCCTGATCAAGGCATCTGGCACGCATGTCAGCTTACTGAGGCACAAGGTAAGGGGGGTTTATGTATGCATTTCATTAGCCGCTTTCCGACCAAGTAGTTAAATTGATTTGATTTTGAAGGAATGCACAATGAGCCCAGTTTGGTACATGTTAAGTATATGGTTGTTTTGACTACTTTAGATATATAAATCATTGTCTGAAATAGTTCCTCTTACTTTTCTCTACAGATGATGCAGTTTGTGTAGAGCTGACACAGTTTAAAGAGCAGTTTAAAGCACATTTGCATGGGGTCATTCGACATGTAATTACACAACTTCACTTGGCATTTAAGCTTTCAAATCCAACTCAACTTTTTCAGTTTAACAATTCAAAATGACATAACACTCAGTAGTCGTATTGACTAAAATCTTTTGATTTTACTTTTCAAGATTTCCATTAAGATGAAGAAACATGAGGATGAGGCTATATGGATTCGGATTGCCTGGGGAGACAACTTCAGCAAACCCAACCACCTTAAGCCAACTTATGTTGTGCACCACCTACACACTTCCTATGTGTTTATATCCAACCTCATGGCCAAACACAAGATCCTTCTATGTCAGGTGACTTTTGATCTATCTCCATTTTGCTTCCTTTACTGTCTTATTTGGTGTGAGATACTGTTTTAGGATAACTTATTTTAATTTATAGTGTATAACCAGATGCCGATGCAACTTGATACTTGAAAGATTTGATAATTATAATTTTCCCACCCAAAAAAAAGTCAAATCTCAATTGTGTTTATTTATTTTCCTAGGCATTAGTAATAGCCACAAAACATGGCTCTATAAAGGATGGCCTCCTGAGCACCAAGAGTCTCACTGCAATGAGGGACTTGCTTCTGAGACGTTATCAGCAGGTAACCTATCGACTGGCAGCTTGTGGGCAAATTCAGCATATCAGTCTTTCTGAAAGATTGATTAGATTTATCAGGCATTATCCGATATAATCTGAGCATTCTCTGCTCAAAACTCATGTGATTATCAAATAAATACTGGGATAAAAGTTCATAGTTCGGATATAAACACTGATATCTACGGTAGTGATCAAAAAAGAGCAAATCACCTTTTGAAAGTAACTTGGCGCTTCAAAATAGATTTGTATGAATTACATCGTTACATCACTAGGTGGTACCAAGTGACTTTTTAAAATATTTATTTGTCATTAAATCATTCAAGAGATTAGTTCAAAAAGGTTCATCCAGCAATGAAACAAGTGAAGTCTTAATGAGTCATTCAATCATTCATTCACTGATTTAAAAAATAAAATAAAAATCATTCAAATTCATTCATTTTTAAATAGACTTCAGCAATAAAAAAATTTTCAGAACCTCTAGTAAATTGTTATTTTGTTTAAGTATCATGATCTCTATTTGAAACAAAAAAATGGTGATTCTCAAATTATCCAGAATCGTGCTGCTCTAACCACATGCATGCATATGGAGGGTGATAGTTTCCGATCATAAGTGGGCAGCTCTGACAGCATTCACACCTGGCATAACCATGTGCCTCCTATGCTATTTACATTCGGATCAAGAGACCCTCTCACTCAATATCATTGTCTGGTGGACACAACAATTATGTCACTATTGGATTTTGTTCTCAAATTGAAATGAAACATTTTGAATCATATTGTTTTTGATTTTTCAAAGTAAGATTGACATTTCTTACAGATTGAAGAGTGATATTTTTTTACATAAAGACTAAACTTATTTGATAAGTACTGATTTTTGTTGTTGTTTTTACACTTATAGGTTTTTCCAAATGCTCATTCAAGGCTCCTACAAGAAAGAAAAACTCTCCCATCACGTATGTACATGTTTTTATGTTTATTTCTTTTACATGCACAAAAATCAGAACAATACATATGTACAATCTCTGGCAATGTATACAGTTTTGTTACTTATGTTATGTTTTGCCAAGGTTAAATAAATGACAGTGCTTTTTAAAAAACATTTAATTGTGAATTCCAAATATTTTGCTAAATTAAAAAGTAATGTGTATAGGGACATCCTTGCTTTATCTGACCAGAAATGGGCATCTTCCCTACAGGTCAGTAGAGCTTTTTGGAGACGAGGCAACAACGAATTGAGATATCAACAAAAATGCTAGGGAAAACATGCAGCAATTTGCAATGAGATCTTTAGGATTCACCTTAACAGGATATTGAACCAAGGCATACACCAAAAGCACACTAGTTTATAACCAGAATGTAATAATCTAGTCAAAGATCTAAATCTTACATTTTTTAATTTTCTTGATGATCCATATTAAAGGGATAGTTCACCCCAAAATGAAAATTCTGTCAGTAATTACTCACTCTCATGTTGTTCCAACCCCGTAAGACTTTCGTTCATCTTCGGAACACAAATTAAGATATTTTTGATTAAATGTGAGAGCTGGATCACTCCTCCATAGGCTTCTAAGGAATTGAAACTTGCCAGCCCAGAAAAGTTTTTAAAGACATCGTTAAAATAGTCCAAAAGACTACAGTGGCTCAATCTTATGTTTATCAAGCGATGAGAATACTTTTTGTGCGCAAAAAAAAAATAAAAAAATAGCGACTTTATTCAACTATGAATTTCCTTCTCTGTTGGCCTCGAGTTAGTTCACGTAGTGTAACAGCGCAGCGCTTCTGTGTTGTACATCACACGTAGGCTCACTATTGGCTGACGCTGGTCATGTGTGTGATGCGTGTGACGATGTAAATTAGATGTAAAATTACATTAGTGAGATGTACAACAGCGAGACTATACAATCAATCCGTAGCTAAATCTGAATGAATTCAGTCTCTGTTTTGTACGGAGCCTCTAAAGGGACGTGGTGGTGGAAACAATTTGGGATGGGAGGATTATTAATATTTTTAAAATCTTTTGCTTTCCCTCGCAAAACTTTTGCATTCCCCCGAGAAACTTTGCGTTCCCCTGCAAAACTTTTGAGTTCCCTCACAAAGATATTTGCGTTCCCACACAAAAACTGTTGTGAGCTCGGACAGACACTTCCTGTTTAATGTCGCTGGCAGTGTTTCAGACATGAGTGTATGTTAACAATGGAGCGTTTCGTAGTGTTTGAACTTGGACTCAAAAGAAATGCAGTCAGAGTGCTTCAAGGAGTTCAGTAAAGTTGACAATATATTCACAGATTCGAACTTCCCGGATCAATAACTCGTGAGCTAAACGTTGTTAAAACACAAATGACACATATTTACAATCATAGTAATGCAGACAATGAGCTGCAACCCAATTTTCCTAAAAACGAGCTTTATAATATAAATTGATCTCTATGAGTAGGCGGCTTAGAGACAAGTCCGAAGCGACCGTCTGCAAAGTGCAATATAGCCCAAAAAACTTGACTACAAAAGTAGTCATTAACTTTAATTTTACACACCAGTAAGACCTTCGTTCATCTTCGGAACACAAATGAAGATATTTTTTATTAAATCTGAGAGGTGGATCACTGCTACATAGGCTGCCTAAGGGAATGAAACTTGACGGCCCAGAAAGTCATTAAAGAAAATGTTTAAATATTCCATGTGCCTACAGTGGCTCAACTATAAGTTTATCAAGCGACGAGACTACTTTTTGTGCGAAAAAAAAACATAAATAACGACTTTATTCGACTATTCCATTACTTCCTTGTGGGCCTGAGACGAGAGTTGAAGAGATTTCCAGAACGCATGCGCGAGAACTGAGAAGAGGACGTTCTTCTTCTACTACTTCTTGTTCAGTTCTCGCGCATGCGTCGTGGAAATCTCTTGAACTCTCGTCTCAGGCCCACAAGGAAGTAATGGAATAGTCGAATAAAGTCGTTATTTATGGGGGTTTTTTCGCACAAAAAGTAGTCTCGTCGCTTGATAAACTTATAGTTGAGCCACTGTAGGCACATGGAATATTTAAACATTTTCTTTAATGACTTTCTGGGCCGTCAAGTTTCATTCCCTTGGGCAGCCTATGTAGCAGTGATCCACCTCTCAGATTTAATCAAAAATATCTTCATTTGTGTTCCGAAGATGAACGAAGGTCTTATGGGGTTGGTACAGCATTGGGGTGAGTAATTAATTACTTAATTTTCATTTTTGGGTGAACTAACCCTTTAAATTAAAACGGTGTTTACAAAGTGAAGCACTAAATATAAAGGCAGTTAATAACAGCAGCAGTAAAAGATTGTTTTTTAGTCACTGTACTCAGTGGTTTTCAGCGAATGCTTGTGCACTAATGCATCATTTTTCCTGTCCTTTTAATCAAGCCTGTTTGTTTTCAGTCTTTCTATATTTTATCAATTATCCTTAAAATTCAATTAATTTTAAATAAAAAATAAATGAATTATATATTTGAGATGTTTTTGGTTTATATCTTCACATCTGAACAACATGTCTGTGTAAATTTGTTTTAACAAAAATTGTGTTAAAACATATGTTGGATATAATTTTTAATTAATTTTACATTAATCATGGATGTCAACTTGCCATCAGCAATTATTATTAAAAACAAAGCAAATATTGATAATAGTAAAACTCAATGTGTGGCTTTTGCACTTTTTAAAGTACACTTTTACACATAAATACCCTTGTGGCAAGCAGGACGAGGCCGAGGGACGTGAGAGAACGGCGCGAGGCCGGTGGCGTGAGTGATAATGAACGACACCTGTGAGACGCACCGGTCTCGCATCTCTCACGTCCCTCGGCCTCGTCCTGCTCGCCACAACCCTGATTTAGGGTTTTATTTAGTTATAATAAACAAAAAATCGAATTGAATTTTTATCCGATTAATCGAAAAAATAATCGTCCGATTAATCGATTATCGAAATAATCGTTAGTTGCAGCCCTAGAATACAGAGCAGTCTGAAACACTGCCAGCGACTAGTGATGTACCGATGTGAAAATTGTGGGCGATACTGATAACCGATATTAATATTGCTGTTATGGCCGATACCGATATTTACCGATGTCGATATCGATACATATTGCAATATAAAAACAATTTCACCAGATGACTTGAATAGCTCTATTTGGAAAGAATGAATCATTCTAGAATGACTGGGGTGGTTTTGTCATTGAGTAAATCTGCATAGAAACTAATATTAATAGAATGTTAACTAATGTAGTTAACTAGACTTTAATAAATGGAACCTTATTGCAAAGTGTTTCTGATTTATGTCTCTTGAGTTCAGTGTTGGACAGATCAGTTGTTTTAACCATTCATTAAAGTGAATCGGTTCAAAGGAGTCATTAGTTCGCGAATCGGAGGTGTCATTAACGGACCACGGCACACGTTGTGTGATTATCCAGGCAATTTAGGACATCGCACAAGATTTGTCTCAACGCAGAAAACATTTCATCACTAAATAGATTTTTTTTTTGTTCATTGAAAGTGTGGTTTGTCATCTGAATGTGTGAAAAGCTTTTCAGAGTTGTGAATTGTGCTAAAATAACGTTGCCTTTATTTTAACACAATTCACAACCAGTGGTAGTTCAGAAAAAAAAAAAACTTCGGTCTTCCGACCTTTTACCATCGTGTATTCTAAAAGATATTCAGTCAACTCAATTCATTAATATGCGCGAGGGAGGGAGAGAGCAAAAAAGTTTGAAGACGGTGAGAGTGTGCGGGCGCGTGACCAGGGCTTTCACTCTCTCTGCTCGTTCTCTCAGTTAAACAAGCGCAGCAGTCAGTCATCTACATCACTCACCGGTCAAATAAGGCTTTGGCGGGACAAAAATATGCCTAAAGGCCTGTTCAAACCGGGACGAATTTCGCGCGCGATATTCGCCGACGTTTAACGCCTCGTGACTAAACAAAGGGCGCCAATGTGAGTGTGCACACCGACACGAAAAACGCCACGTGTAAAAGCGTCATTTTTTTAAAAACGCCTCGGGTTCGTTTTTTTAGTTTGACGCGCCGCGTCAAAAACTATCCGACCAATGAGATTGGCGCTTTTGCTCACGTGTCTGGAGCTTCTGAAGTTACAGTAAAACACAACTTGGGGGCGCTCAAACACAAAACGGTCTTGCCGAGCACACATACGTAACGGCGAAGAAGATATACGCCAAGTAGCGTCTACACTGCCGGGAAGAAATAAGACGAGGAAGATGCAAGGCAAGATGAATGTAGAGCTGCTGGTCTTGTTGGTGTCGGAACATAAAGAACTATATGACAAACGCGACAGCGACTACAAAAATCTTGATAAAAGAGAATGTTATGGAGTGGTATTGCAGAGCAAATGGGCGCCATCTAATGTCAGGGAATGAATTTGCATGTTCACTCGGCTCATCGTCAGCGAAAATCGCTTGGGTGTGAACACAAAAAACGCGTTGAAAAACGCTGCCGAATAACGCGCGCCGATATTCGTCACGGTGTGTACGAGCCTTAAGGCTGACAGAAAACAGCGCGCAAGTTCCAGTCTTTTTGCGCTTGATGTTTAAACTGACAGGACTTGTGCTCGTAATGTATGCGCTCATGCAAAAACAACAAACATCCCCGCCACCACACTTACATCTACACACACGTCAAATACACAGGAATGATTATCGGCCTGTTCACATCGGCCCTATTTTGACATAGGAACGATACCGATGTGTAAAAAATTTATTTTATATCAGCGGCCGATATATCGTGACGTGCACCACTGAGCGACATTAAACAGGAAGTGTCTGTCCGAGCTCACAACAGTCTTTCCGTGGGAACACAAACGTTTTGCGAGGGAACGCAAACGTTTTTTGGGGGAACGCAAAAGTTTTATTTTTTATTCTCCCATCCCAAATTTTTTTCCACCACCTACGACTTCAGTAGTGTTCTTAATGTTGAGTTGCAAACATTTTCATTTGAATTCATAACAGTTCTATGCTATGCTGTTGTAAAATATGTACAATGGGTGAATAGTAGACTTACTTGCCCACCGCGGCACAGCCCCCCACCATCGTTTTGATTTTTTTAATAGTAATAAAAAATCATTTACTTCAGTTAAAAGCTGAACATTTTCTCACTGTCACATCCCTAGTGAATAAGCATGATATATCCTTCAACTTAATTATAAATAATCTATATGCCGTTTTGTTATTTTTTTTGCTGGTCTTTTTACAGACCCCTGTATTGGAAAGGAACACAAGGACCATGAAGAGATAAGACATCAGATGGCCTGTGAGGCGTTTGGACACGGCGCTACACCAAAGCTAGAAACCGCTGTGTATAGAGTGAGTGTGTAAACCTCTGATCTCACATAACCACCTTTAGATTGAATATCAGTTGTTTGTATCATATAATTACATATATTTCATTTAAATTAAAGGTGCAGTAAGCGATTCCTTTGAGAAAGGGTGTTGATATTTGAAATCACCAAAACACACACCCCTATCTTCATAGCTCCGCCCCCCAAATTCACAAACACGCTATGCAATACAGGCACCTCCCCTCTAATGAGTGTATACCCCCCTAACTGCTGATTGGCTACAAGTGGTGCCTTTGGTGCTCGGTCTGATCCACTTTCAACAGCGTTTTTCAGAAATCGCTTACTGCACCTTTAACCACATGTACACCTAAACAAGCTTTTTGACATTTATAAATGTGCTTTAGTACATGAATCCTCTGTTTTCTCTCAGCTTGAGACAAGGTACAAAGGAAATGGCAACTACACCCTCAGTGACAAAGAGGAGTTCTTCAGAGGGGTGGTCAGGTTCTCAAGCAGCAGTCTGTTAGAGTCCTTGCGCCACTGTGTTGCTTCAGGTGAGGAATCAAAACCCTTTCCTTTGACTGAAGTCAAAATCAAGTCTCTTGAGGACAGGGAGAATATAAACATAAAACTCATTTGATAGTCGTTTCGAGCTGTTACTTGAAAATTGTCCATCACCAAGGTGTAGTTACAAGCATTGTCTGGCATTGCCCATGCTTCTCAGTCATACACAAACTTTAGAACCTAGTTACTTGTTTTCTCCTTCACTGCAATCAATAAAGTATTTATTTAATATTTATTTTGGCAGGCATGGCTGAAGGTCCTGTCACTCCGCTGTTGTCTGCCATCACTCAGAGGGGAAGGAATTATTTTGTTATCACAGACAAAGGCCCTGGTGTTTCCAGCCAAGCATCATCACAGAGAGCCTGATGACAATTGACGTTGCTGAGGAAAATCAGTTCAACTAGGATGTGCATACATGAGAATATATTGTGCCACCTGCATCCTGCAAAGATGAGAACGTTAGAGAAGGCATTTGTGTAGTCTTGGCGTCATCAGTATTGTCCCCTAATCTGATCCAGCAGGGAGAAATCATTTTGTATTTTTTTTTTTTTTTTTTTTACAATTAACCTCTATATATAACCCATATATAGCAAATATAGCATGTATTATTTTTAGTGTCATTTTAGCATTGTTTTAAATAAAGTTTAAAAAAAAAGAAAATTGTAATAACAGTTATTTTTAATATACCTATCTGAATTTAGTCCTTTTCAAGCTGTGTAATGTGCAATTGCACAAAAAAAAGTTGTAGAAATTTGTACAAAATCAGACTTTAACCTTCTTTCATGCACATGCAATCAGGCAGTCAATATTGTATGAAAGGATTCAATGATAAATGTTGAAAATGGAAATTCAAATTTCATTAACACTTGCAATTTTGGGTTACGCTTTATATTAAGGTATCCTTGTTACAGTGTAATTATACATTTAAGTTCTGAGTAATATTAATTAGTTAGAAAAAGGGGTTGGTTTAGGGTTAGTTGCATGTAATTATGCACAATTTATTATTAATACAGCAAGAACATGTAACATGTAACAAGGTCACTGTAAAATGAAGTTACCCATTGTGTCTTAGATCCTTACAAAAAAACATCTTTCCTTTACAATGCCATACAGTCATCATTGCTAAAATAAAACCGGTAACTTGTTTTTGAAATCATATTTGTCACTGTCTTCCATGTAAGAGTAGAGAAAATGTGTTGAAAATACGCTATAAACCTGTTAACACAATTTTGGTCTTAAAGAGATAATCCATCCCAAAATAAAAATTCTCATATATGACTTTATTCAGAAATTACTTTTTTTTTCCAGAAAATTAGCCCATCTCTGTCAGTCCATATAATGCAAGTGGATATTGTAACTCAAAGGTTGTCGCTTCAGAAACCACTAAAAGCAATCATGATGGTAAGTCATACCACTAGTGGATGAATTCATGTCTTCTGAAGCAAAACAATCAGTGTGTGATGAAAATAATATTTTAAACTTCTGTAACTATAAACCATTTTTTTTCTGGCCAACTTTCATAAGCACGTTCATGAGTTCACGCTTGACATAAACGTCAACAAGTTGTCAAGCTTGCACATGACATGGTGGTCCTCTGCTTCCCTTACTTCTCGTATGATCTTTGCAACATGGTAATGTAATGCTTGCAACGCTCTTATGAATGTGCAAATGACATGCTAGAAGCATTTTTTAATTTAAAACAGTATTGTTCTTACACATTGTTCTTTCAGGCCTCTGACGCAGTAAAATGTGACGTACATATCTCCAAAATGCTGCAGTAAAATGGTTTTATATGAGTTGATCATACTGTATGGGACGTCCCCTATAAAAACTGACCATTCGTTTTTTTCTACTTATTAAAAATTAGGTCTTTATAGGCCTCTGAAGTAGAACAATATGACATATCCAAAAAGCTGCAGTAAAATGGTTTGATATGAGTTGTGCATACTATATGGGACGTCCCCTATTGAAACTGACTATTACTTTTTACTTATTAGAAATTAGGTTGTTATGGGCCTCTGAAGTAGTAAAATGTGACATTTCTCCAAAATGCTGCAGTAAAATGGTTTGATATGATGTGTGCATACTGTATGGGACGTCCCCTATAAAAACTGACCATTAGATTTTTCTACTTATTAGAAATGAGGTTTTTGTATGTGTATAAAGTATTCACATGAGGTATGCATATAGTATGGGACGTCCCCTAAAAGAACTGGCCATTGTTTTTTTCTACTTTAAGTATGAATAATGTGACATATCTCCAAAACGCTGCATCAGCAAACCGCTCACCCACACATTGCCATACACGCTTTCTGCCATCTGCCCTGTACAGTGAAAACCGGGATTCATCTGTGAAGAGAACACCTCTCCAAAGTGCCAGACGCCATTGAATGTGAGAATTTGCCCACTCAAGTCGGTTACGACGACGAACTGCAGTCAGGTCGAGACCCCAATGAGGACGACGAGCATGCAGATGACCTTCCCTGAGACGGTTTCTGACAGTTTGTGCATAAATTCTTTGTTTATGCAAACCGATTGTTGCAGCAGCTGTCCGGGTGGCTGGTCTCAGGCGATCTTGGAGGTGAAGATGCTGGATGTGGAGGTCCTGGGCTGGTGTGGTTACATGTGGTCTGCGGATGTTCTGCCAAATTCTCTGAAACGCCTTTGGAGACGGCTTATGGTAGAGAAATGAACATTCAATTCACGGGCAACAGCTCTGGTGGACATTCTTGCAGTCAGCATGAATGAATGTGTTTGGGATGCTCTGGATCGGCGTATACGACAGCGTGTTCCAATTCCTGCTGTAGCGTATCTGGGCCGCGTCAGGGTGTTTCATGCATTCCAACACTGGGAACCGTTCTAACCATTGACCGGTGTCTAATAATTCACCAGCTCAACACCAGAAAGTCTGGAGTAGATTGCCTTTTTGACACTTTTCATGGGTCCTCCTCAGAGCAATACCAGAACATCCCACACCTTCCCCCAGCTCTGGGTCCCAAGCTTCAAAGAGATCTTAATCGGCCCTCCTAGGAGGATACAGACACTGCATGTCACAGAGTCAGACACACACATACACGGACGGTCCTTTAACTTCATCCTATAAGACATTACTAAGATATATTCAATATGTTTTTAGGCTTGCCTGCATGCCCACGCCATAGTGGGGTATCTGTGATGTTATCATAGTATTAAATGACTTATAAGTGCTTGTAATTATGCATTGAGATGTATCTTGGTATTCCTATTATTCGTATATGCCTTATTTGGTACCGTCTTGATACTCTCGGCCTCACGGAGTTAGACACATACAGGAAATTAAAGTAAAATGTATGATTCTATGTGCAACAGCTTTCTGGTTAGAAATTGCATCTTTTAACAAGGCCGTAAACTATGCAGATGAGCCGCTTTGACAGGACAAAGGAACATCTTCCCGCTCACAACTCTCGAAGGTTATTGGCCGTTCACCCCAAAGGAGGTGTGAACTCCATTGTCCTCAAAAGGATGGAACGCCAGTTCCTCCCTCTCTTCATCCATCCTCTTCATCCCTCTCTTCCTCTCTTCATCCATCCTCTTCATCCCTCTCTTCAACTCCTCTCTTCAACTCTCCTCAACTTCCTCTTCAAGATCTTCTCTTCAGTCCGTTAGTTTAGTTTTGTTTTCTTTGTGTAAGGTATCTGGGGTAAATCATTGACTCTGTCCTGAACGCAAATAAAGCACATTCTTCCTAAAACCCAAAGTTTTTAGGATTAATGAAAATTACTGGACTTTGGTGCCAACAAGTCTGCTCCTAACACTTTTACGACCCTGGGACACTCACCAGAGACTAACCCTGCATTCTCCCACTCACTAGTCCAAGCTTCAAAGGAATTCCAGAGAACCCTCCCCCTGTTGGGTGCTCAATGCACGCAGATACAAACACACACACACATATGAACTGTTACTACTCTCCTCATTTAAAGACATTTACTGAGGTATATTTGATATGTTGTTATGTTTGTCGATTGCCCAGGTCCTATGAAGGGATCTATGAGTGTGTGTTAGTTTAAAACAAACTAAAAAGGGCAGTTAATTATGCTTTTAATGTAACTTTGCAATATAACTCTCCTTAAATGTCTTTCTTCCTATGTCCAGGATCCTAGTGAGCTGACAAGGTCATTTATGTAATTGAACAAGCCATAAAATGTATTTTACTATGTTTTACCATCTTTTAAATGATTCTGAACAAATTCTGACTGATCGTAAAACCTGTGAATGCGGCCATAATTTAGCTTTGACAAGACAAAGAGAATTTTGCCGCCAAGAGTTTCGTTGAATGTCATTGGCCAGTTCGCACCTCAGAGGTGTGGACTCCAGTTCCTTTAAAGAGAACTGGACTCGCTCTTCCTGGCTCTCTCTTCCCTCTCTGGCTGGTACCCTGGACTGCTCTTCCTCCAACATGTGACGCGCGCTTGACTCTCTCGCTCGCTCATACTCTGGACTCTCCCTTCCTTCATCATGTGACTCCTTGGTCCATCGGGACCTCGTGTTCATGCGATGACCCATCTTTCCTTTGTTTGTCTAGTTCAGTTTTATTTTCCTTTTTGTATTCTCCTTTGTTCATTCTCACCGGCGAGTGAAATGAACTTAGTTTGAATCATTTCTTTGGCAACACCTTCAACGGACGATTTGAACATCCCGCCACACGGGCGCGCCGGAAAGGACCTCTGACCGGGTTCGGAACACACACACACGTACACGAGAGATCAGCAAGTATTCGTTTTCCTACCGAGATCTAAATACTGCTAAGATTGCCTGCCCTAATTAGGGTACGATTTGACTAGTTGTCTCTCTTAACGGTTCTGTGTCTGATGAATTTTGCCAAACTCACCAGCTCTCTCTCTCTCTCTTTCTATATGCATTCTCCTTCCTCGATGTTTTATTGTGTTTGTAAATACATTTATTCCTTGTAACGTTTATTAACCGTATACGTAATCACCTTTATTAAATACATATATTCATTGATTGATTCTGCCTGTGCTCATACTTCAAATCACTTAAATGTTTCGATCAGCTACAAGCTTTGAAATGGTATAATACTTTAAATAGTATTGTGACAAAACAGGAAAGCTATCTTTTACGGCCGTAAAGATCGTCTCTTCCTGCGAGTCTCTTAAAGGTAATTTCTCTGTGGAAATTGATGAAGATCCATGACCAGTTTGCTGGACAAACAGATTATTCGATAATAATTAATTCCATTGAGGAGTATCCTGAGAATCTATATATTCCAGACGATTTGTATATGAATATTGAATTATAATTTGTTATGATTTGATTATTGATAAATACAATTGATCTATCTTGCCGATCTGTATGAATAATTGATTATACATCCATTATATTCGGTCGTTCATAACAGATTGGCAACGTAACCCCTTTGCCGGGTGATTTTTAACATGTATTGTTATCTGGGTCAAACCCGTATCAATAGTTATTAATTTGTAATTACTAAATATTGAATACATATTCCCCAATGGCCCAAATACTTTACATTTGTTTTCCCGTTTCGTATTCTACTTTGTTCATTTCCACAGATGAGTGGAAGAGCCTGAATTATTTTTCTTTGAGTAACTTCACCTTCAAGGGACCTTTAAATCTGCCGCGCCTCCATACACCCGAAAGAGCCACGGAGAACGCGTAACGCTCTGAAGGAACGACACCCACGCGCCTTCTTTATTCAGCCACACAAGAGAACCATATGTGCAAGTATTCATTTTATCGAGCTTTCAAAGCGTTTAAGATTTGTTTACCCCATTTAGGGTGATTTGATATCTTGGTGTCTCTCTCTCAGGGTTCCTTTGTCTGTGATTTTGCCATACTGTTGACCACTTTCTACCTCTTCTATCTCTCATTTTCTCTCATTGTTTGTTGCTTGATTGTGTCATTTTATTCCATGTAATTGTAGTCACCGGTACGCAGTTTCCTTTATTAAATACATTATGTTCATTTGATTGACTCTGCCTGTTGCTCATATTGCGAAGTCCCTTAAATGTTCGATCAAGCTACGAGCTTTACAAACTTGTCGATACTTAAATGGTATTTTTATAGAAAGGAAAGTTAATCCGATTCTCAAACATATACAGTGCGGGTTGAGAGGACACTGGCGTTGTATGTTTCGCCGCTTCTCAGCCTGCTAAAACTGCTACAACTATTCTGTGTATCTGCTTTACTGATCTGTTCAACGGATAGCAGATATTGAGCCCGTTATCCAGCTTTGCTGGATACTAAAACATCTAGG